AAGGTTGCATGATGGTGAACAACACCATTTTGGCTTATAGCTGCACACATGGTTATGTTACCACCACGTTGTCGTTGGACATTGATGATGGCACGGTGTCCAATAATGTTCCTGCCACGTCTCCTGGTTTTACTGAGGTTAAAACCGGCCTCATCTACAAAAAGTAGCTCATGTCCCATGGCATCTGCTTCTAGTTCCATCACTCTCTGGACAAGACAAAACAAATGCAACACATCAGGCCCATGCACAGCACTACAGTATGCACTTCCAAATTCAGAACCAATGACACTATAGCTTACCTGCACATAGTCATATCGCAGTTGCTTTACACGTTCTGTGTTTCTCTCGAAAGGAACTCTGTAAATTTGCTTCATTCTTATTCTGTGGCGCGCAAGTACACGACTTAGTGCAGAAATACTTACACTGTGTATATTTTGAAAGATGGTGTCATTATCAATTATGCGCTGCTGTATTTTGCGCAGTCTTATTGCATTATTGGCAATCACCATGTTCACTATATGGGTCTCTTGCTCTGGAGTGAACATTCTTCCTCTGCCCCCAACATCTGGACGTCTAGCAATTCTGTAAAGTAACAATTTCAGTATTTTTGCATGTATGGTACTGTTGTGTTTCTCATTAGAGTATGGCAGTGCTACAAAGTAGTTACCGATTCTCATTTCGAAATGTCCTAATGATGCTTGCCACAGTGTAGCGGCTCAAATTAGGCTGAACCCGTTGGCCAGCTTCCCTCAGGGTCATCCCATGGTTGATGACATGGTCCACTATTGTAGCTCTGATGTCATCAGTTATTCTATTTCTTACTCTTCTTACCCTTCCTCTTTCCCCTCCTCGTCCTCTTCTTGCTCCTCCTTGTCCTCTTCCTCTAACTTCCTCTAACCCTCTCGCTTCTTCAACTCCACATCCTCTTCCTCCAACTTCTTCAACTCCACGTCCTCTCCCTCGGCCTCCTCGGCCTCCTCTGATTCTCACTCTTCTCCCTCTTACTGCTCCTTCCATTGTACTCCACACAGACAGCTTACCTGTGGCTTATTTATAGTGCTTAGGCTGATTGCAAAGTGAACTAATTATCTACAACAGTTTTCACATGTGCAAGTGTGCCAGACAGTTGGCAAAATAGTGTTAATGATAGCCATACATGTGTATAATTTTGCTAGGAGTGTGTTGGAAATTTGGTAATTGAGTGTAAGCAGTGAGTTGTGTTTAAAGTTCTGCAAAAAGAGTGTTGTGCAGTGAATTGTGCCTACAGTTTTGCAAAGTGTGTGTTACAAAATTGTAAACTGAGTGCAAAGCAGTGTTTGTGCTTTTAGTTTTGCAAACTCAGTGAGTGGTTTTGCTATACGTATTAATAGTTTTAGAAATTGTGCTACAAGAATCACGATTAGCGCTTAAGCATTCAGAAAAAACTGTAATAGGCATGCTATCAGTCGTAACACACCCTAACTCGAGTCGTTCTACCCTATGTAGTTTCTTGCTAATCCTACTTCAAAACGTTCTTCAAAATCTACATTTGCTGACAGTACGGATATATTGTTAGTTTCAAAGCTATTTCTTGCCTGATAAGCTCTGAGAAAAACTACCCTGCATGATATAGTACACAGATTCAGGAAAGGCTGGACATACAGCAATATGAACAGAAATGTACTCTACATACAGTTGAAGTCGGAAGTTTACATACACTTAGGTTGGAGTCATTAAAACTCATTTTTCAACCACTCCACACATTTCTTGTTAGCAAACTATAGTTTTGGCAAGTTGGTTAGGACATCTACTTTGTGCGTGACACAAGTAATTTCCCTTATAATTCACTGTATCACAATTCCAGTGGGTCAGAAGTTTACATACACTAAGTTGACTGTGCCTTTAAACAGCTTGGAAAATTCCAGAAAATGATGTAATGGCTGTAGAATCTTCTGATAGGCTAATTGACATCATTTGAGGTATTTCAGCTGTACATTAAAGAGGTGTGCCCCCAGCTGGAGGAGTAAATCAATGTAATACTAACAGTCTATTTTCTGTCTACTGTAAGCTGTTTTTTAAAACAATTGAAATGATCTACTAGTGTTTGATTAGTTATAGTTGACCAACAGCATGTTGTAAAAAAAGATACCCTCATTGACTTGGTTAAATTAGTGAAATCACTCAATATCAATATGGTAATTTCACTGTAAAAAGTGGGATGACATTGTTGTTCATCTGAAGTGCTTTTTCTGATTGGTTGATGAGTACATTTACATTTTAGTCATTTACATGCTCTGATACAAAATTACACATTGGTTCGTTCAACCTATTCAGTGCAATTTGTCGGAAATCAAATATTGAATTTGACAGTTAATGTGATTTTTTCAACGTAATCGATGCTTCTAAATTGCTTACACTTCATTCGCATTGCATAGCGATGGATGCAATGTAGCGGCTGTAAGGGTTGGTGTGAGGTGTGACCCAGGTGCGGTGCAGGATAGACAGTAGGCAAGGATGGTGAAACAAGGATCTTTACTGGTGGTCCAAAAGCCAGGATACAAAACAACGGACTATACACGAAAACAAATGAGGAGCACATAGGTCTCCAAAAACAGGCTGACAACGAACAATACGAAATACTAACTCTGACTGGAAAAACACAATGACACAGGGAGAACACTTCTCGAGTACCTGTAACTCCGTCACGTGATCCGACACTGAAACGTACTGCTTGACATCAAGGAACTAGCAGAGAAAACTGGGCAAGGGAACACAGGGAAGTGTGGGCATAAATACACAGGTGAATCAGATAGCCACAGGTGACACCAATAGGCAGATAATTAGTCACGACTGTGAGTGAGGAGGTGCCTATGGTTGTCGGAGGATGACACCTAGTGGATCGCTCCGGAACTGCAACCCACTCCTGTAACAAGCGGCGGTAGCTTATCAGAAGAGTTGGAAGCGTAGCCTAATGGGGGCGTGGCTTTCACTTTGTTATTTTTGGCCACCTGTGAGAGTGAATGCCATTTCAGGTATTGTGTTCTGTTTTTTTTAATGATTATATGTTCACTGTCAGCACTGATTCTTACATGATATCTGCATAAGTACTGTGATACTAAAAAGCCTGGAAAGGTTTCCACGGATGAAATGGCCACCATTTGGTTACAATATTCTAATCAGGTAATGTGAAATGTTAAAAAATGTTTGGAGTCATTTATTCATGCAATGGAACCAACTTAATATCTTGATTAACAGGAAATTGATTTAATTGCTTGTAACCCAATTGAAGAAATGTGGGTAGGTTATTCCAAAGTGAAACATCTACTTTGTATAACATGAAAAAATGGGTTGTATATATATTAGTTTGTATCTATGTTATTTTTTTGGTTTAGCCAGAGGGCAAAAGTAAGTTCAGTGTTGAAAAATATAGATAGGGCCAGCAGCACACCGCCCTGTATCCCGCTGCTGGCTTGCCTCTGAAGCTAAGCAGGGTTGGTCCTGGATGGGAGACCATATGCTGCTGGAAGTGGTGTTGGAGGGCCAGTAGGATGCACTATTTCCTCTGGTCTAAGAAAAAATATCCCAGGGTGCTGTCTTTCGGATGGGAGGTTATATGGGTGTCCTGACTCTCTATGGTCACTAAAGATCCCATAGCACTTATTGTCAGAGTAGGGGTGTTAACCCCAGTGTCCTGGCTAAATTCCCAATATGGCCTTCATACCATCATGGCCACCTACCACCTAACCATCCCCAGCTTCCAATTGGCTCATGCATCTCCCCTGTAACTATTCCCCAGGTCGTTTCTGTAAATGAGAATGTCAACTTACCTGGTGAAATAAAAAAACATTATCTGAATGTTCTGAGAACATGACTTTAAATAGAACCATCAGGAAATGTTTATGTTGAAGTACTGAAATTCCCACAGAAGAAAATTCCCAATGTCAAACCAGTTGGTGAACTTTCCTAGAACATTACCAAATTTTGAATTAAATGTAACTATGTTTTAACTTTTATGAAAAGTTCTGTTAAAGTAATGAAATATAAAGTTTTTTTTTTTTTTTGGTCAAGTTCCTTAAACGTGCTGAGCCAAGCAACTATCCTGTACCATTCCCAGAGAGTTGTGGGAAGGTTTTATGCAAAATAACCAAAGGACAACCACTCACTCACCAAGCTCTATGAAACATATGGTTCTCAGAACGTTATGTGCTAGCTGGGAGGTCACTGCAAGTAAGAGAAAGACACGGAACATGTGTGATGTCATGATGTCCAAGCAAGACTTTCAGATAGCCAATATATCTGAAAAGTGACATTTCAGTAGGATTTTACAGATTTACAACTTGGAATATAGGTTTGGTAATAATGAAATATAACAGTTGGCATTGAATCATATATTTGATCTCAACAAATGTAGTTTTCTAAAATTGAGAAATCCTAACTCATTTATTGTTTTAGGTTTATTTAAAGAGTACATGTTTACATTGTACATGTTTTAAGTCCATTGCTAAAATTGAAGTCCTTGCTCTATCATGCATGCATACACTGCTCTTCTGTTGGCTACAACCACACTACCAGAACAGCTGGTAGAGAGTGGAGCCACAGTCAAAACGCTATTTGGAGCTCTGTGCGTAATGACAAGGCTGTCTCAGACTGGAGCAGCGCGCGCCATGTCACACCTCTTTACTTTACCTCTTTGCTTTTACTCTCAGTTTGCCTAACTTCGTGCATAAAGAGGACAAAAAAATGGGTAAACAGGACTAAAATCCAAACCTGGTCTTCGTATTAATCGAATATATTTTGATCGATTGTATATGATATATCTCTTTCATAACCTCATGAAATTAGTTTACTTTCTATTTTGGATAAGTAAAAAAAAAAATACTTTATTGAAGAATGACTTGGTTTTGGAACTAATATACTTTTTGAGGGAGTAGTCTTGAGGCTGGAACCATGCATTTATTTTAAATGTAAAGTCTATGTCTGAAATGAATTACTCCTCCAAGTGAAGTGGACAGAACTAAACCATGGAGAATGTTACTTCAATTCCAGATAACCAGACACTTGGTCCATGGACTGATTATAGCATGGAATACAAAGTGGTCAGCATATTATTTGTGATCCTCATCTGTGGGATCGGAATAGTTGGAAACGTTATGGTGATACTAGTTGTTCTTACAACCAAACACATGCGGACACCCACCAACTGTTACCTGGTGAGTTTGGCGGTGGCCGACCTGATGGTCCTGACCGCGGCGGGACTGCCGAATATTACAGAGAGTTTGTATGGAGGAGGCTGGGTGTACGGATACGTCGGGTGCCTTAGCATTACTTATTTCCAGTACTTGGGCATCAACGCGTCTTCATGTTCCATCACCGCTTTCACCATTGAGCGGTACATAGCCATCTGCCACCCCATAAAAGCGCAGTTTATGTGCACTCTGTCAAGAGCAAAGAAAATCATAGTGGTCGTTTGGGCTTTTACCTCGCTCTACTGCGTCATGTGGATTTATCTCTCTGACATGAACGAGTTGATTTATGACAATATTACCATGTTCTCATGCGAATACAAAGTGTCCAGAAATCTTTACCTGCCAATCTACTTCACTGACTTTGCCGTGTTCTATGTGGTGCCCCTCATGCTAGCCACTGTTCTGTATGGATTTATCGCTAGAATTCTTTTCCTCAACCCCTTGCCAGCAGACCCCAAGGAAAATACTAAAAAGTGGAAAAAAGAATCATGCCAAGGAAATAGGACGATGAGCACCAACAATTCATCATTTAGCACAACTGCCCGCTCTCGCAGGCAGGTAAGTACTACTGTTTTAAAGTTTGTTATCTTGTAACAGTGTATCTACAGCATAATAACTACAGTGTGTTTGTGTGTGTGTGTGTGTGTGTGTGTGTGTGTGTGTGTATGTGTGCGCCTCGGAATAAAGTGAGGAGAAACAAATTAATGATTTAAAAAACGGTCATAATTGCACTGGTATGATATGGCGTGCACCTGGTGAAGTTGGGGTGTTCAATCCAAGCATATACTGTACACTCTTAGAAAAATGGGACAGCCGAATGAATAACCCTTTTAGGTTCTAGATAGCACCTTTTTTTCTAAAAGTGTATGGTAACATCCTAGAGAACACAGACGTCAAGTCAACGTCTATTCTACGTTGGTTCAAGGTAATTTCATTGAAATGACGTGGAAACAACGTTGATTCAAACAGTGGGTAATCATTGTAAGTAGGTTACAGTGTGCAGCACGAGCAAGTCAACATGCAACAAACCGTATTAATATAGACTCATAAAGCCTCACCACTATGCTGACGGCACACGTCACTGAATAATGTAATTTGTAACACATATAGAGCCTACACTGCACCTGAGTCTGAGCATGCGAATGGGAGGGGTGAGAGTTCATCTGATGAAAGGGAGAGCTCCACTATAAAGAGTGGATTTTTAGGTATTGTGGTGCCAACATCATGTTATGGGAATGCTTGTCACCAGCAGGGACTGGAGACGGAGTACCGGCAAAATAAATATTGGGGTACGTGTACTCCATACCGGTTGAACATGAGCCAACACAATATTTAAAACAAAGATGCCAAGAAACCTGTAGGCTATTACACTATTATTTATAATTAAAGCATGTCACCCTCATGACAAATTAGTGAACGGACTAGATTACTTGTGGAATACGCTCCAAAATGTGATGTAGTTCGACGATAACAGTGACATTTTGTGAAGGCAGAGATGAGTGGCTGAGAACGAGACGCGCGTGGACGGTGAGCGCATCTTCAGGTTACAAGTGTAGGCCTAATGAATCACAATCACAGAATGTAATTCCTTACACTTTTAGTTTTTTAAAAATAGATGTCTCTTTCTATTCATCAAATTGCCGGTGCACAGTGCACTGTATGGATGTGGGAATTATTTTAGAGTGGACGAATGTGCGCAGGTAGCCAGGCTTACAGGAGCCCTTTGAAGTAATTGTTTGACAATCAGATGAAAACAATCATGACTGGTAATGTTAATGCCACATTAACCTCTGAAAGTCTAAGCCCCTCCCCCCCGCCCAATGCAATGGCTTAGACTTGTAGAGGTTAATGTGGCATTAACATAACCAGTCATGATTTTTTCATCTGATTGTCAAACAATTGCCAAACTGTTGGGACGCTACAGACGTTTCGTGAGAAGACCGATTTTCGGGATGTCTCATGGTCTGACAAACACCACTGTAGCTCGGCCACCTTCCACCGCAGATGCGGAAGGTCGACATAGGCGGGTGTGGTGGATTGAGACACAGCCCATGCAAAAAAACTGACAGATTTTGATGGGGATCTTTTTTTTCTGTTAGATTAAAAGGTAATACATTTGAAAAGTTAAATGACACATTTGTACTATTAGGTCCACAGAGATCCTATTTAATGAATAGGGATTCTATATGTAATTCTATCTGTAAGAAGTTAAATCTATAGTACTTTCACCCCTGATCAAAATGAAAGTAGCAAAGCCCAGGTAAAAAGTCAGAGGAAAACCGCCTCAGTCTTCTATTTTTTTCAGCAGGACAATTACATACATTTAAATGCCAAAGACACACCAGAATGGCTTTCCAATAGATGTTAAGTGTTCCTGAGTGGTCCAATCTCAGTCCTGCACGAAATTTGCTTGAACATCAGAGACAATGTTTGAATATTGCTGTCCATCAATGACTGCCAAATTTACTGAGCTTAAGCAATTTTAACAAAAACAATGAATATACATGTATGTTGCCTGAAGAGTTGTGCAAAGTTGGTAGAATCTTATAAAAAATGATTCACAGCTGTAATGGCTGCCAAAGGTGCTTCCACCAAGTATTAACTCTGGGGTGTGAAAACATACGCAATCAAGACATCTTAGTTTTTTTAGGTTACCTTGGTCGCGCATCCTCAGCCTTGTCTGGACATGGACCAAGCCAGCCTTGAGCTCTTTCTGTCTCAGTGGCATAGACAAAAAAGACAGATGATGGATCTGTGCTCACTGCTAGGTCATTTAGCAAAACAAGTCAAGATAATGCTCTGACATAACACACACATCTCTAACTGGCCTAGCGTTGAATGGAAACCAGTGTAATCCATACCACTTACCAGGGCCTGATTGAATTACCTCAAAAGGTCAAAATTGAATAAGGATAGCGATCAGGAATCTTCCCTAGTTGCTCCCTGGCCCTATCCAATAAGAGACACATCACTGGTGTGAGAGCTCACAACATAAATATGGATGATAGCATCTAATTGCATTTGGAGTTTAATACAAACATTATCACATCATAATTATATTTGCAGTTAAATTGCTCTCTAGGCGCTGTTGGTTTAGTCTTACAGATGCTGTTTTGTCAGTCTCTTCAGTCTGTGGTCGATATTAATTGTAAGAGGGTGCTCACCGACCCATTTCAACCAATTTTCTTTGCATAGCAGGAACATAAAAATTTTTCACACATTTTTTACAGGAGTCAAGCTGAAATCTATTTTTCCCTATGTCTTTTGATGAAAATGGCTCTTGATTTTCTTCCATGTGTTGTTGTCAGGTGACTAAGATGTTAGCTGTGGTGGTGGTGCTCTTTGCCCTCCTCTGGATGCCCTATCGGACGCTGGTGGTGGTCAACTCCTTCCTGGACAAGGCTTACCTGGACCTCTGGTTCCTGCTCTTCTGCCGCATCTGCATCTACCTGAACAGCGCTGTCAACCCTGTCATCTACAACGCCATGTCTCAGAAGTTTCGCACCTCCTTCAAGAAGTTGTGTCACTGCGGTCCGCAGCGATTGGAGAAGCCAGCGTCCTACAGCGTGGCCCTGACCTACAGCGTCATCAAGGACACGACCAATGGAGAGAGCCCTGACCACTTCACTACTGAGATGGACGAGCTGGCCACGCCCACACCCAGTGACCAGTTCCTGCCCAGCACCAAGAGGATGTCATTCGAGGACCCCTCTCTGTCAGGCAGGGTTGCCCTTAGCACTCCCTGACAGAAAAAGTAACTCCATGCAGGCAACAATGATTATCTGAAAGGATATTCTTATCCTTAAGCTCTAGTTTGTGAATTCAAAATGGTCTCCAGCAGCATACTTCTGATTCTATTCTATAACTCATTTTCTGCAGAGGAATTTATTTAATATTTGAGCGGTACAATGACAAACATTAAATACCAAAAATGTGTTGTTAATAGAGGAAGGAATGCTTCATTTCTTTATCTAGCATGGTGAAAATATATTCTCCCCTCTCTCTGTAGCCATCTTAGCACAAAGCACCCAATTATAGGCATTCGTCAAATTAGTCCTAAACATTGTGTGACATAAGCATTTAATTTGCAAGGTATTAATCATACTACTTTCACATACTGAGCAACAGTTGCCATCTCTGTAAAGTATTTTCCTATAAGAGAAATATAACAAGGGAAATATGTTATCCCTCTTTTTATCTGGAAAGGTCTAGGCCAGGTACTCAGTGTGTGTGTGTGTGTGTGTGTGTGTGTGTGTGTGTGTGTGTGTGTGTGTGTGCATGTGTATGCGCGTGCGTGTGTTTAAAAGATAAGCTCACTCTACAGGAGGAGTCAAACTGTCTGGGCTAAGTTGTTTGATCCATCCTGCTACTTTGCATGTTTTAAAACAGCACAGAGAGAATGTGCACTGACCACATTTCAAATGCAGAATTCAAAGGAGGCAGAGTATCAAAACCATCTCTGCTCTAAGGGTGTAAATATCACACATTGCTTTCAATTGAAACCTGTCTGTCAGGGAAATAGAGATGCGGTGGGAAGAAGTTACTTTAAAGGTTACAGATGATGAAAAGGACAGATAGCAAAGCAATGACACGCCGGATCTGTCATTTGTTTGATTGCGCAATGCCATTTGACTTTATACAGTAACCTTAATGGCTAAAATGTTCACCTGATATGGAAGGTTCCGCAGGGGCTAGTGTAAAAAATGCAGCATGGTTAAACATCATGTTGTTCTACCCGTAATGGACTACTGTGGTGTGGATTCAATCAAAAACTGTTGAATGGTCCAGAGCCCATCGTGAGAAAGATCTTGGTGACTCAGATGCCTGGGTGGTTGATGGTTGTCTCTAGGTCAGGGGCCTGACATGACCAGACCAAACATTATGTTGACATCTGCAACAGCAGAGACTGATGGTAGCATTTCGCCCTAATGGATCACCCCAAGCAAATCCCACAGAGCAAAGGCGAGATTAGAGGATTCATCAATGCCAAAGTGTTGTACCTGGGAGATTTGAGGGAGGCTGGTGAGTCATGGTACAGCCATAAAGCATGGGCACAGTGTCAAAAAAACAGAAACAAAAAGCATAAAAGGAACAAGAATTGATTGAAGTTAGAATTCAAATAAGAAAAAAATAGGCAGTTCATTGTTGTTTATTTTATACTGATGAAACTCCATCTATGTCCCTTTTTGGATGCTGTAAAAATGCTTGAAATTGATTGTGTGGTGCCATGTGAAATTTATGTTTTTCAATGTACGTTTCAGACCTGTGTCTGCCAGTAGAGCTGTTTTGTAATAACCTAGTTTGTTTTGTTCAGATTTATTGTTGGTTCCAATCAATGTATTTTACTATGGAGCAATCAATGTGGAGCTACACTATTCTTCTTTGGTAACACTACAGCTACAGTATGTTTCAAAGAATGTACCTGAAATAATGATCTCTCCCTCTTGCACTTTCATCTACTGTCTCTGCTGTACAGTTTCCACCATAAAAGGGAGTGGTGCCTGGTAGCCAGTTTGCAGCATGGACACTGTAAAACGCATGATGTTGTGGTGTGATTTAAAAAAGAAATACATTTATGTACAGTATACAGTTTATCTTCAGTCAGCAATGTTGTGTAATCTGGCCTCTCTTGCTGGCAGTTCTCTGCATTGTGAAAACTGCTCTTGTGGTTTGGATGGTTTGTGTTTTGTATTTTGTATTGTTATTTGTCTATAATAAATTGATAATTGATCATGTAGTCCCGGGATTCATGTGTCATTCTTTTTAATTCATCTCTGTATATTTTGGAGACACATCTTCACAGTATTTTCATCTATTCCATTAGGATGCAATCAAAACATATGGTTACTTTTGCAACTTCATCAAAACACTATTAACATACTCACATAGTGATTTTATCCAGATGACTGCACAAATAAATATCATGAATTTTAACACGTATGGCAGTTAACAATATGGCAGTTTTCATCTGTTCTTATCATAGCACATTCATTTGGAATAATACATGGGATATTGGTGTGGAAAGCACCATTGAAAGCATCAGTTTAATTTAAAGGTGCACCCACGTTTCATTCAGTGCTCAAATGTATTGAATCCATTCTCCACACACACCACATTAAATCATTGAGATTTGTGATGACAAATACATAGGAAATCATCCAAATGTTCTTGATAAATCATAAATTGAGATATATTGAGACATTAAATGGGATGACAATATTGACCACATCAATCTTTAAACAGGTCCCCTGATTCAGCACTATTCGGAGGACCTGGAATAATCTGGGCCCTTGTGAGCGATGCACTTCATTTTCGGATAGTTGGGACTCGCACTAGACCTGTCAATGTAATGGTATTTTAAAGTAAATAGCCTAGCTCAAGTAGACATGAGGTTTACCAGACACACATTTATTATTTTATTACCGTACAAAGGATTGTTATGGTAGCAAATGTGCATAAAAATGCTTGCAAATGCTTTGTCTACTAACTTAAAACGGCTTTGTATTTTATAGAAGCTATAAAAGCAGCCAGCTCAGTAGTAACTAAAAAGATGAGAAAGACTAGAATGAATGAAGGTTGGGGTGAAAGGAAGGCACGCAGAATACAGATAAATATAATAGCCACTGCTATATCGTTCAATCACTCTGTATTTCTTTTTTCTCTCTCACGCTTTATTTTTCTCTCTCTCAAACAAACGCATGCACTCATACACACACACGCGTACACACACACACACACACACACACACACACACACACACACACACACACACACACACACACACACACACACACACACACACACAAAGACTTTGGGAATTAATGTGTGCATAGCCTGTTAACAGCATAAACTGGTCCCAAGGACATTCCCATTAGTAAGGAGTTTGGGTATCCAGATTTTTCCCAATTATATTCTCCTCTGAGTTCAAGGTCACTCTCACACACCTGTCACCCTCTGATAAAGAGCTCTGTAAATAACCAGCAAAATACCTGAATTACAATTGTCTCAATTACAGTTTTTTCCAACTGCTTACACACGTTTTCAAAACTATGTCTCCTTTTTTCAAAACTCTACACACAATTCCCAAAACTGCACACACAAAATGCAAAATGCCTCACATCTCCTTCAAAATGTAACACTGCATTCCAAATGCCATAAACACATGTCAGAATGATGCATTTGCTTCAAATGGCAAACACTTCTTTCATAATAGTAAATGTTTGGATATACCATGTAAACACTGTTGTTCTAAATCTAAAGCTCTTTGGTCTTTCATAGGCTTATATCTACATTTCAACACAATGTTCTACAGTGAAAGTAATCTCCTGAGAGGGGTAACAAGTACACTGTAAACACCAATGCAATGTAGAAACAGAAAATATTTATTAGGCCAAACATTACTGTTGTATACAGCAGCATACAACAAAACCATAAACATATGTAAACCAAAAGTATTCTTTAGAATACAGTAAAGAACACAATTGTGTGTGTGGGGTCCCGGGGGGCAGTCCAAGAATTGGTAGGGTGCTAAGCTACGCTTCATCTCTTCTCCGGGCTGGGTCTGGCCACAATACTTCATCCACATCACAAGATAACTTTTCTCTTGCCAAACATCGAGGGAAGTATCTCCTAGCATGGCGTATCCAACCTTGGACAGAGGCAACCTCTATGTCCACACATGCGTCCTCCATTGCCTGGAGAAGCGGCATGCGGGCATAGGGTTAGCGATCATACACTTTCCAGCGCCAGGCTGAGAAGAATTCCTCTATGGGATTTAGAAAATGTGAATATGGGGGTAGGTACAAAACTACAAATTGTGGATGGGTGGCAAACCAGTTTTGGACCAGAACAGCCCGGTGAAAACTAACATTGTCCCATATAACCACAAATCTAGCAGGCTCCTGATCTGGATCAGGGACAAGCGTTGTGTAAATTGCATCCAGAAAAGTGAGCATATGGCCGGTGTTGTACGGACCCAGTGTGGCATTGTGATGGAGGACCCCGTTTTGCGTGATGGCAGCACACATAGTTATATTACCCCCACGCTGTCCAGGGACATTGGTAATTGCCCTCTGTCCTATTACATTTCTTCCGCGGCGCCTGGTTTTGGTGAGGTTGAAGCCAACCTCATCCACATAAATAGATTCATGGCGAATTACATGGGCATCCATCTCCAATACTCTCTGTAACAGACAAAAGGATATACAGATGAGTAAATATGGTATGTCTGAAGTACTGGAAGTAGTGTTGCATACATACCTCTACAAAGTCATGTCGCAGATTCTTTCTCTCAAATGGCACCTTGTAAAGTTGTTTCATCGTCACTTGGTGCCGTTGGAGGATGCGTTGTATGGTCGACAGGCTTACAGCATTGATGTTGTTAAATATGGTGTCATTATTCAAGATATGCTCTCTTATCTCTCGAATCCTAATTGCATTGTTGGCCAAAACCATATTTATAATTGCAGTCTCTTGTACATCTGTAAACAAGCGTCCTCGTCCTCCATGATGTATTTGCCTTTCCACTCTGTACAGAATTCAAAGACAGTATGTGTTCAGCTTAGGAACTGTAAACAATGTACAACAAATTGTAGTACAGCATGATAACCAACCTCATTCATTCAATGTAGTGCAGTAAATGGATGGCTTAGAGTTACAAATGTTTATGCAATACTATGCAGTCATACGTATTTTACAGTACATTACTGTAATGCTAAAATAGTAA